CAGACCGTCAGTGCAGTCTCGGGGATCGTGGTCGTGGAGCTTGGGGGGGTGAAGCCCGTGTGTGGGGGTGGAGGCGCAGGAGGGAAGATGCACATGTGTTGGTTTAGGTCGGTGGTCACCGACCTCACGGACCACCGGTTGGCGACCGCTGGTTTAGATGAACTCAGTGAGCATCAGGGCAGGTTTGTGGGGCTGCGGTTTTGGGAGGAGGCTGTCAGTTTGGGGTTAAAACCCTCTGACCCTTCGTCCTCTTCCAGAAACACCTCACAGAGTGGCCACTGCAGGCCTGACAGGAGGGGTGGGGAATGGTGTCGAGCAGGTGGGAAGCCAAGGGGACATGGAGGCTGTGGGACTTAAAGATGGAACGTCCACCGGGGAGGGAGACAGTGATGCCCTCGGTGCTGGCAGGAGCGTGCGTGGGGACGGTGCCAGAGTGCGGGAGGGCTCGGTGGGCCAGCCCCGGGTGTCCGTGCGGGAGACCCCTCGGTGGGGGGGGCGGGCCAGCCGCTGCTCCTTGGCGGTTGCCCTGTGTGATCGCTGCTGTGGAAGAGGAACTAGAGCACACGGGTCCGTGGCGTGCGCAGCGCCCCTTCTGGTCCCTGGAACGTGCGAGAGAAACTTCAGTGGCCGAGTGAGCGGGACAGCGCGGGGGAAGCGCGTTCCCTCTAAAGCTGTTTGATTGAGAACTGCTCGCAGGCCACCTGCTGTGACTGGCTTCTTCACAACTTGTTTTGCTTTGCAGCCGGATCTGGGACACCGCCTCTGGCCAGTGCCTGAAGACGCTGATTGGTGAGCCTCGCTGGCCCTGGGGGGCAGGGCCCTTCTCCATCGCGCCCGCCTCGCCTTCTGAGGTTCTGGGAGCCCCTTCTCTGTCTTGTATCTGCCCCTTTGGGAGGATTTCCCTCCTCTGCCGCCCTCCCATCACCCACATCGCCCACCGCTCCTGCCCGCCTCACGGGGCTGGCCCCACCCTGTCCTCTGACGGGCCTGAGCCCGCTGCCTATGCCTGGCAGGCCCTGGCTGTCTTCGGCCTCGGGGCCTCTTCCTAGTCCTTCCTGGGGCAGCTTGATTGCGCCTTGCCCTCCAGGCGTGCTCCGAGGAGGGGCGTGGAGGAGCCTGGAGCAGAGGCCCTGAGGTCACTGCAGGCGGCATTAGGGGAGGGATGCGCTCTGGGCCTGGGTGTCCTGGAGTGGGAAGACTTGGCCTGGGCTGACTGGTGGGTGCCGTGGGCGGGCTGCAGGCCTGCTGTGCCTGTGAGCAGGGCGCCATGGGCCCCGCGGGGCCTTGGGCCTGGGAAGGCTCTGGGGAGGGAGTCCCCCCTGGAGGGTTCCAGTCAGGGCGGGTGCTGTTTAGGAGCCTGATCACCTGAGCCGGAAGTATTCACAGTTTTAGGTTAAAGGGGAGCCCGTGCGGCTGGCAGCCACGTGGAGGGGATGGCCACGGGGTTGTGCGCCCCTAAGCTCCTTCCCGAGGCCGCCATAGAAGCATGTGGGGGGGTGGGAGGAGGGGAGGCTGCGGGGCGGCTCAGGCTGCCCAGCTCGCCTCCCGCCTGCAGGGCTGGTCCCTGAGGCTCCCGGCTCCTAGGTCCTCGCTGGGGCTGTTCTGTGCGCTGGTGTCAGACTCCTAAGACCCATTCAAGCTGGGTCATGGCCCCTGTGAGGGAGGGGATGGCCACGGGGTTGTGCGCCCCTAAGCTCCTCCCCAAGGCTGCCATAGAAGCATGTGGGGGGGTGGGGGGAGGGGAGGCTGCGGGGCGGCTCAGGCCGCCCAGCTCGCCCGCCTGCAGCCGGCTCCTAGGTCCTCGCAGGGGCTGTTCTGTGCGCTGGTGTCAGACTCCTAAGACCCATTCAAGCTGGGTCATGGCCCCTGTGAGGGCCTCACTTTTTTTGTTTTGTTAACCCTCACCCGAGACTATTTTTCCATTGATTTAAAAGATATGTATTTTTATGGATTTCAGAGAGGAAGGGAGGCGGGGGGAGAGAGAAACATCAGTGATGAGAGATTCATCGATCGGCTGCCTCCTGCATGGCCCTGACGGGCCTGTGCCCTGACCCAGAATCGAGCCAGTGACCCTTCGGTCCTTGGGCCGACGCTCTGACACTGAGCAAAACGGGCCAGGACAGGGGCGTCCTGACTTCCCACAGCGACGTCCCGCAGTCGGACACGGCGTCTCTCCCGTCTCTCCTGGGCGGCCCGGTGCAGCTCCTCTGCTCTCTGTTAACCAGTTACGTTAGCCTTTGATCAGCTCGGCCACCCCGCAGCGGGGGAAACTGAGGTCCGAGAGGTTAACCAGCAAAAGGCCAGCAGCACCCCGGAGCCTGGGGAAGGCGGGCAGCGGGCAGCGGTTCCCGGTCCCGTTTCTCAGCCCAGGTCTAGGAGGTAGAACCTTCTGGACTGGAGCACACAGTCCCGCTGAGGCTGTGCTCAGGGGCTGGGTTGGGGCTGTCGGTGCCCTCATCTCGCCTGCGTTACCCACCTGCCTCCTGGCGGGGCCCCTGGGACCCAGGGGCTGGCAGCCTCACGCCTCCCCGTGCCTTTCCAGTGTCTTGGACCAGCCAGCGGCATAGGCCCCAGGTGCCCGGCAGCCAGGCTCGGGTTCTCCAAAGTGGTAATGCCACTCCCCTGGCGCTCGGGATGCCAGCCGCCCCCGCTCCCGCTCCAGGTGCAAGCTCCGGTCCTCCCGCCTGGCCGGGGAGCACAGCACTGTCACGTGGCGGAAAGGCCCCTCCTGTGGGGTCTCTGGGAGTGCTGACGCAGTGGTGTGGGTGCAATGGTATTTTTCTAGAGGAACTTACAGATCTTTTGCAAAACTGTCACGGAAGACACCTGAGAGCATTCATCCAAATGGTTTGCGTAGTCCTGACATCCCGCCTGGCTGGGCGTGTGGATGTTTCACGTGAGGAAGCTGATGCTGGATGGCTCACTGTGCCCGTGGGGGGTTGGCAACCCGAGTCTGCACTGCTGCAGCCCTGTGCTCCCCAAGCCCTCGTGTCAGGGTGATGGCCCCACAGGGGTCCGTGGGCTGGACAGGCACGAGCAGGCTCTCCCGGGGGCACAGGGCGGGGGTGT